TATCATTTATTTATTTACCTATTTATTTATTTAATTATTTATTCAGTTACATTTTTATTTATCTACAACTATTGTTGTGGCATAAATCAAATAATACAGGAGTTGGTAAATAAGCAATTTCACAGTAAATTGAATGAATGCGGAAAATTTTTCACACATTCATCTTGATCTTATTGAATTTTCTCACATGACTCCTTTTTTTCTTATAAATGAATATGAATGAAATAATATAAAATAAATATGGTATCCGCTACTTTTAATCGATCTTCAGTGACCCAATAGACAGCCTTTCTCTCTCGTACACGGGAGCTGGTAAGTGACATAGTGGCACTAGGCACCATGGTTGCTGCGAGCTGCTATCTCAGCTAACCGAAATTCGAACTCTTTGGGGCTGGCTAATTTCTGCACGAATCGCCCGTCTAGATAAAGTTGGTGGAAGATCACCTCTGATGGACTTACGATTCCAAACGTTTGTACGATTCTAACTGAAGGAAAACTCGTGGCTTATCCTTAGCGAGGAGGCTTTGCCCCTTTTTCCAAACGTAGTTTAGTGGTAGAAAAATGAGAGCGTTGAAAATTACCTTCGTGACTTCCTTCAGAAAGTAGTTCTGCAGTCTTTGAAGCGAGATCAGAGATCAGCATTTGGATTGTCTACAAAGGCTTCGCGTTATAAATGGTCACGTGGACTTAAAATCATTCTCTTGTTCAGAAATGACGGTTCGATAGGAGAAACGTGGAAATTGAGGGAGAGAACTGAGCGGCTGACTACCCTCTTTCCTGGGGTCTTTCGTGAAAATTTTTGAGTAATTGCAAAATAGTCTTGAATTTTCCCATGAACAATCAAATACTAGGGCCTGCACAAACTTTTGTGACATTTAATAATGCAGGATCGAATCCAGACCTAACTATGAAGGTTGTGAATCGCGGGCGTCGATTAAGCTGCTTCCAGTGGTTCTATTTGACTGGTGATAAACTCCCGGTTACTTTGCGCAATCAATCTCCAGCAAGATGAAATTGTGCTCTTCATGTGTACCTGCCCTAACTTCCATTATTCACCCCAATGGCCATTGAGCTCGGGAGTCCCCAAATTCCTCCACCTCTATCGCGAGGTACTTTAGTCTAGTGAATTCCTTTTGCTCGGCAGGTAGGAGTAGCCTCTAGACTTCTGTAGCTTCCAAGAAGCTTGAAATCTGGTTTGGGATTGCCATGAAGCCCGCCCAATACGTCAGAGGATGGGTAACTGGCATGTGTAACTGCTCTGCTCCGAATGGTCACCACAAAATTGGATGGCGCCTTCGCTTCACATAAACTTCGATTAATTGGCAATTACAGGAGATGATCTTTGGTCGTTGACGAACTTCACAACTGTAGATCTCTTCTGCATTTGCGTGTACGGGGAAACTTAGCATGTTGGCCGATCACAGGGCTAACTTACTTGCGGAGGGTTCAAGTCTCGTTCGTATGCTGAGGGTGAATGGCAACAGAATCGAAGGAATTGGCGCGGAGCCAAAGGTTCTCAGTACTCTTGCTTCCTATTATTGTTCTGAAAACATTCCCATTGTCACTAATTCCCTTCTGGCCTCAGTTTTGGAGCTAACCCCTTCTCTTATCAGCGATGAACCTCCCCTAAATCCCCTCCATAGTGCTAAATTCTCTTGCGAAGAACGACCTATATGATAGGTTCGAGCTCTTAGTTTAAAGCTTGGGATTAGTGGCACCACCACAATAGCTTTTTTTGTCTTGGGATTGGCGAGTACCATCACCTTATAATAAAAGTAAAGTGTCAGTCACCCAGCTGCGCTCATGGCTACAATAACAGTATTCAGAATGAGCCCCCTCCCCGCCCAAGAGTCAATAATTGGGCCAACCGTTCCATAGTGATGTAAAGCAATTTGGAGCAGCCTTGACACTTTCTTTGCGTTTTGTTGAAATGAAACTCTCCAAAGAGCTTTATGGGTGACATTTGAACCTGAAGCTTTTACTCAAGTCTGC